GATGTCTTCCAACTTTCCAGCAGATGTGTCAGCTGCAGATTCTGAATGATGATGATTCTAACCAGTGTCTGCCTTTAAAAATGTAAGTGCGTTTTATCATAATAGCTCAAATTTGTCTTTATAAAACTATAGCCCCAGAACATTTCCTTCCCATCTGTGAGTGAGTGGGGGCGGGGCGTCCCAGAGGCTTTACTGATAGTTCCTCTCCCAATTTCCTCTTAATGAAATAATCCCAGTCTACCTGCCTGATACGCTGTAGCCTGGAGTGGCGTCTGTGTTAAATTAGAACCATCTTGTTTCTGGGCTCTGTCTGTCCTCTGCTCCACAGGTCTTTGCCTGAGCCCTGTGGCCCGGTGTCAAACATGTGACCTCTCTGCTTTTTCCAAGACTTTAAGGTGCATTTTGTTCCCATGGTGATGTGGCTCAAACATTCACAAACACCACAACAACTACTTTTTGGATGCAATATTTGAGGTTTTATATTTTCGTACACAATAGACAAAGTATTCTAGTATCTTTTAACAATCTCTTCCATCTTGGACTTTGTGTCAATATTTTTGGAAATAGTAGTAGCAGAAATAGGAAAAATAATATATTTTATTTTCAGCGTTTGTCCTCATGAGTTGACGGCAAGTCTACTTCATTGTCTGCAGATGTTTAGGACTACACAGAAGATGATTTATACCAGATGCCCTTCCGGAAACAGTCCTTTCTATTAGGCTTGGGTTCTTTTATTGTGCACTTTTGCTCTGAACACAATTATTATCATAAAAACACACACACACAACAGCAGTGACTACAGAAAAAACATTAACTACAAAAGTTAAAGGTGCACTGTGTAACTTTTCTGGTGGAGAATCCACTCACTACCTGTAACAATATAGTAGTACACTTGGCCTATTTCCATAAAAACAAACTAGCTAATTTATGGGCCAGATCTACGGAGAGGCGACCCTGCTCATAGTAAGAATGCATGTATTTCAAGGTATTTTTGAGCAATAAAAACACCTTTAATTGAATGAATGCAAGATTGATATAGTTAATGACATACTGTGGAATAGTCCAGACAAAATAATAACATCACAGAGACAAGCAGGCGGTGGATCCTACCTCTGAAAAGTTACTCAGTGCACCTTTAAATTGAGATTTCCTAAGTCATCCTTAAATCATGATAGATCCACTGCATCACAATACAAGCACGTGCTAAACTTAAAATGAATATCTTCAAATAAAAGTGAGCCTTTAAAATCATCTCTTAACAAATTCCTCAAAAGTAAAACGTACCTGTTGTTTCTTCGGTCACAGGTAACACAAGCGTGCCCAGTCATTCCAAACATAACAGTGGTTTCTCAAACACTGGGGCTTCTGGGCAGGACTCTGGTCTGGTTTTGTCCTGGTTTGTGGATTTGTACGGCCAGGGTCCAGTCCGGAGGAAGTAACTCAGGAAACCACAGCTTCCAGTAAAAACATGCAATTAGAAACACATAGGCTAGTACTTTTTGGCTCCATATACTCAAGATGGCGGTCGGAGAGGAGGCAACTACATGACTGATGTGGCAGACAAGATCACTGCTGTAACGGGTCAGCTGGAAAATCCCATGAGGCAATGGGGTAAAAATGGAGAGAGTGGAAGGATGGTGACAGGCGAAGACAGTGACGTATGGAGCAGAAATAAGAAGCAGAGAGGTAGAATACCACGAGACGCTTTGGGCACGCGGGCGACTGACTGTAATATTCCGCCAGTGGAAATCCCAACCACTGCTACTGTTTACAAGAGGCAGTAAAAATGCCACTGTGTTTTGGGAGCGCGTCAAAATGTCCTTGAAAGTCTCGCCACTAAAGAGACAGGAGCAGGACAGATTACAGCCATAAGGACAGAGTCAGTGAGGAGAATGGATACTTGAGATGGAGATAGCCTACAATTTCCACCATAAAATATAGTGGTATAAAAAGACTGAAATTGGACATATCAGGCATTATAGTGGGGTTAACAGGCTTTTGGATACCTGGAACTTCAGGTTACGTAATATTTCTTGAAACAGTTGTTTTGTTAAAGTCACAGTATGTAATGTTTTAGCCAAAAATAACTAGAATAAAAGCATGTTTTTTCATTATGGATGTTTTTATTGTAGGCTACTGAAAAACATGTGTCCTTAGTCTGAGTGGGTTTGCATCTTGCACAGGGTCACCAGATTTTAAATATTCTAAACTGGGACACACCCAGGCTGGGATGGTTGGTATAAATAAAACTGTGAAAAAGTGTGTATCATTGTACATTCTCATTCATTCTCAGTCATAACCCGAGGGACTTCTGTTGCAGCATTTTTATTTTTTTGCTTTATAGTCATTTGCAAACATGGTTTTGTGTATTTTGAGGAAACAAATGACAATTTATGCTCCTCTTTACTGTTGGCGAGGATCTGATCAGTCAAAAATTGTGACAGTCCTTTTTTTGTCCTGGTTTAGACCTGGTTTAGATCAAAATGGTCAAAAATAGGGACACCTGGGGCATTTCTTGGACAAATCACTAGTTTTATGTAATTCTGTTGGGACAGGAGACACAGGGCTCAAAACTGTGACTATCCCGGGTAAATAGGGACGTCTGGTCACCCTAATTTTGCATCGTACTGCTTGTTTCCGTGGCTGTAATGTGGCATAAAATTCAGTCTCTGAGGAGAACGTTCCCAAGTATGATTTTAATGTTTTATTTCAATAGGATCATGTACTGGTAGTTGACTTTCCACCTTCAGAAAGTCACTTACTATCACATTAAACAAAACATAAACTGTGTGTGAGGTTTTCATTACATATAAGTAAAATAAAAAACACGTTGAAAGTACATTCTAAAATTGAAAATACATTCTATATTCTTTCAGTGATTCCCAACCAGCAACTAGCACAAAAAGGCTTCCAGAATCCAAAAGACTCATGTTGGATTAAACTGGACTTAGCAATCAGCACATCAACACACTGTACCACTCTGGGCTCTCATACCATAGATTGAGAAGCAGTACAGTACTGCATTAGCACATACTGGAATTTTGGCCAATTATATCAAGTAGCAAAGTAACCTCAAGTTAGTGATGATTTATCAAATATAGCCTGTAAATCTATTTAATGGGAAATGGCAAAATGAAAAACAGATCAAATGTGTAATGCCTGATAGATTGAACAGAGCTGGGGGATCACAGAGCTCTGTATGAAAGATAAGGCTCTTTTATGTTTTGTGTGGTTGGAGCTACCCTGATCTGACCCTGCGTTTTCCATATATGGCAATCCGTTCTGGCACTACAATTATATCAAATGTGGATGTCATTAAATTTTATAGGCCCAAAGTTCTGCTGCAGACTGTAGCTTTTCATTTAGCTCTATATAAAAGCACTAATTGGTTAATTGCTGTAAAAACTCAGAACATTTTGAGGAAAGACCCACTGACATATTTGCTCAAGCCAAAGCCATGCACAATTTGACTCAAAAGTTGAACAGTTGACCAACTATGCAGAATTAAAGGGCCCATATGACGCCATTTTCTAATCTGGTTTAGAATGTTGTCATCAAAAACATACGCGTAGTTGTGTTTTGTGTGATTCACACATGTTTAACACAAAAACCCTGCATATTTAGGCTGTGTTTTTCTCTCAAACAGAAAACACTCTGTCCCATATTGCGATGTCACGGTAATACAGGAAGTGCCCCATTGTGTTTTTAAACTCCGTATACCTTTGCTAGAATCATTTAGATGATTTGTGCCCTGTTATTCTACTGAAGATAAAAAGTAGCTGTTAACTTAAAAAGGCAAAAGGAGAAGTTCAATTTGTCATCTAGACAAAAGTTTATTTGGTCGAGTACGTTTTACAGCTCATCCAAGCAGCTTCTTCAGTTCTGGTCAGAGGCTGGTGGACACTTCCTTATATTTGCATGAAGGGAGGAGCTAACTACAATGAAATTACTCTGAAACTACCACATCTACTTGTTTAGAGTTTGTTAGTTAGCTAGGCCTATTGATCTTGTACCGAGTGTGGGGTCTCATGTCTTAGTTTCAGAGTAGTTTCATTGTAGTTAGCTCCTCCCTTCAGACAGATATAAGGAAGTGTCCACCAGCATCTGACCAGAACTGAAGAAGCAGCTTGAATGAGCCAAATAAACTTTTGTCCAGTTGACAAACTGAACTTCTCCTTTTGCCATGGATTCTACCTGGACGACTGAGGGATTTTACACATTAAATTGAAAACTAAAGCTACATAACATCACAAGGTGGAACACAATATTTTGAGACTGAAACACAACTCCAGGTTTGTTTTTGATGAGGTAACAAAATTCTAACATGGCTAAAAGTTCACTAGAGTCAACCTTGTGTAATATAGGACCTTTAAACAAGTTGCATGCTTTACTACACCATTTGAAAGTCTCACTGCTTAAACACCACAAACCACCGAGACAACCAGCGACCACCTCCAACCACGAAAACCATCAGAGAGGAAATACATTTTGTGGTTAGAAAAAGTTCTTAATTATGACACTCCCAGCCGGCCATAGAATAGAGACTCAAATTAGCAGTGAGGAGGGGGTAGCTCTAATCAATCCAACGTCAACAGTTCACAAACACATCATCAGAAAACACAGGAGGAAATGAGGTGACGAGGTTTTATATATTTCCAAATACAAAAGTGTAAAGTGACAATTCACAGTCGGCCGTAAACAAAGGGAGCGTTGTTTTAATGAAGGAACAGGACAGAGAAAATGGAACAAATCAGGTTTGGTCTAATAATACAGGATGAATACTGCATAAAAAAACACTGGCTTCTACAAAACATATTTAATAAGCCATTACACAAATAACAGTACTTTGGTGATTGTCCTGAACTTAACTGGTGGACACAGCGATAATAACAGACTTAGCACCATTAAAAAGAACAATATGTAACAGGCACATTTGAAGTGCTGAAAAAACAAACATAAAAACACTTTGTAACAACAATTGTACAACCTGAAGGCACATCAGAATTGAAAACGTAAATTATAAACTTTTTCAGCTAAAATTAGTTATCCTATGGTATGGTGCAGGTTAAAGGTGTACTGTGTAACTTTTCCGGTGGAGGGTTTTTGCTTAGTCTGGAATGTTCCACAGTATAGCATTAAACTTTTTTTCAATTACAGATGATTTTAATGGTGAATATTCCCTTGAACAACATTCTTACTGTGAACTAACTCGCCTTTCCACAGATCTCACTAGTAACTTGGTCTACTAGCTTCAGCTGCTTGTGTCCATGGATTAGTTTAATGCTGTACCGTGGAACATTCAAGGTAAAGCAATAACATTTGCATAGAGACAAAAAGAGGTGATGAACCCAACACCAGAAAAGTGACAATGTGCACCTTCAATTCAGCATGGGTCTTTTAAACACTTTTTATTTTTTAACTTAAGTGACTCTTTGGTTTAAGTAAACATTTTTAAATGACTGGGTTGTCAACGTTTTTGGAATAGCAGCAACATAATCCACACATAAAATAAAGATGGAGTCAATGTAATGAATACATTCCTATAAAATCTCATTTGTTTGCATAGTTCGCAGCAGCCAAACTTTGTCTAGTTTCAGTGGGACTTCCTAAATGTTTGGCATTTTGTTACGGGGCAGAGCTCAGTGTTCTTTTTTTCACATTTTTTAGCAAATGTTTATTTTTGACCTATATATTATTTCACTATCAGGTTAAGGTTAGGTTTAGGTTTAGGCTCCGTAATGAAATACTGAACATGCAGGCAGACCCCACTTTCACCAGCATTTGGCCATATCTTTCGCTATCTGTACCTCAAATATTTAGTACCTAAACTATTTTAAACATTTATTCATTTATTGGTAGCAGAAATCTACCGCAGCTTATTTATCATAGTTTTCAACAAATGTAAAGGAAGACAAAAGTAAATTCTAATCCACTTTTTGTCTTTGCATTAGTCCCATTCCTAACATGGGTTAAATAAGACTTGATTTTATTTTATTTATTTTTTTTGCATATTTTGTGACGTGATCCTTAAGTCACACACGGCTTTGATTCATTCTCTGAACAGTATGTATTTTATAAATGAATGTTCTTTTGAAGTATAAATGCTTCAAGGTTATACATATAAAGAGTATAAAAATGAAAAAGTAGCACTAAACAGTTTTTGGTTGTAAATTACAGTACAGTTTTGGTCTGTTGATATATGTTTTTACAGTAAATAGTTTAATAAACAGCAACACTGAATATAACATTTGATGACATTGTTAACAAAAGGCATGAGCTCGATGTGCAAGACTGAGCAAATGTTTATCTACAGGTCAGAATACAGAACGCTGGACATGTAGTCAAAGTATTTGGTGGTTAAAGTTTTTGAAGTTTACAGTTTTCCTGTTGTTTAAGTACTTTCTTATTCATGGCAAGATAAGGCCTTGGCAGAGGTATATTTAAAAAGATTTCTGCACAGTCTGCTCTGCCCTGCTCCAGACTGAGCGACTCTAGATAAAGTGGATTTTTCTAATATCATTCTGGTTTAAATTCTCTGTGACTCTAAACATTACAAGAGGAATGACAAATGGACTGGCTGACTATGTTTAGCCTAATGCTTTCCATGTATTTATAATAGCTGCGTCTGTGCTATCTATCCATCTCCATACTGTGTATATAGGCCACGTATGAAGTATGAGAGTGAACTTTATCTTTGGCATCGGGCGTGTTTGCACTGAAGTATGAGCCTAGCTCTCCGTCTCCCCGTGGACGTTCTCCATGTGCACTTTGAGGTAGTCGTTCCTGGTGAACTTCTTGTGGCACAGCTGACACTCGGCCATGGGACGGTTCGGGTTGTGAGTGAGTTTGTGTCGACTCAGCATCTTCTTTAGACTGAAGGACAAGTCGCACACCTGCAGAGACAGAATAAAACATTATAAATCTAATGTCTGTGCCTATTTTTAGGTAATGTTTAAAGAGGGCATTATGTAAAATTGATCATGCAGACCTCTGAAGTCTGCTCTCTTTTTTATCCAGGCTTGAGATTGGCACAAAAAGGTTTCAGTATTAAAAAAGAGAACAGAAGCAATACAAACAGGAAAATATAATGTGAAAACAAAATGTAAGTTAACTCTCTACTTTCATGTCTAAGCACTTGCTTTCTTGCTCCCCGGGTAAGTAGGCAAGATGTTCCTTCCACTGGCCAACCTGGTCTCTGAGTGGAATGGACAGATCATTTCTGTGTTATAATATGATATTATTGTGTTCTCTTGAGTCTTCAGCATTTATTGTCCAAAGCCAAATGTATGCCTTTTTCAATCATTGCCTACATTGCCTTTAAATGAATTATAAAAGTGAATGGTTGATGTGTAGTGTAGGTCTGCAGTTTACCTCTCCCAAAATGAATGGGAAAGCTTCAAAGTGCTCCAAACCCTACAAATATGACACAGGAATACATCAAGTCTGGTTGGAGTGAAGGCTGTGAGGTTGGGTGCATGAGAAAACACATGTTCAGGTAACACAGCTGTAAAACTCCCCTTACATTTGGACATTTCTTGGCTTGTGATCCTGCGCTCATTCTTTTCCACTTCATGTTCTAAACCCTTATCTCTTCTGTTCGAGACACGTACTGAAGTGAAGTCCAAAGTCTTAGTCACACTTGGTGCACTTCAGCGTCTAAAATCAGCCTTTTTTCCACGCGCAGTGAGAGGGGAAGGCAGACGATGTAAGATCCATCATAAACGAGTCATTTTGCGCTGTACAAATGACTGTCCGGGCCTCTATCCATCATGCTAATCCTGGACTGGCCCGTGCACAACCGTAGTCTAACTGGCGTAGAGACCCAGCGTGATTCCTCCTCGCCCCATCTGCGAACTGCTCCGGTCCCGTGAATCACATCCAGAGACGTCATTTACATGTGCGTTCAAGCCAAAGGTGGAAGCTATGAATGAGGAGACTTCTTTGATTCAAATCCTTTCAAACAAGCTACAAATGTGGAGCAGTAAAATATTTAGAAATGTAAAAATGCAAGCCCCACAGCCTCAAATCCAACTCCAGCCCTGGATGGACTGGTCTGGTCTTGATAGAAGTCTACAAAATGTTTAATGCTGTTTTGACAGACGATGCATTCAGGGCCCTCTAGCTCATCTGGCAACTGCTCCGATGGCTTTTTGTCTCCATGTAAAAATAAAATCCACATGTTTTTTCATTTCTTTTTAATAGTGAAGAATTATTTACATGAACAAGCAAAGAGGATCCAGATGAAATTTGGATGTCATTGTGAGACACTTTCTGGACTAACAATCGCGAAGAGATGGATGAGAGCAATGTTGTGGTGTTGACGACAGCTGGGTGTTTTTCCCTGGGTGGAAGCTCAAAGACATGGCACAGCATAAAGCCAATATGAATGTTCTATCACATTTAGTGTTAATACGAAGAGTGATGGAGGAGAGCAGCCAGCATTCGTCTGAATTACGTTTGCCGGAGTGTGGTGGAGACTTTGGCAGAAACAAGGCTGTTGTATAGACAGACAAAAATAGCAAGATTCAGTGATTATTTTTTCATGTTAGAAAAACTGCAAACTTGCTCAGTGTTGGCTCCAAAAAAGAAAGAAAATATGAAAAGACAAGGAAGACACAAAAAGGGCCCAAGTCACTGAACAGTAGTTTGAGCAAATGCAGGGTTGTCAGGAAGGGCATCTGATGTAAAAATCCACAGCACTACTACTACTAATGCTACTACTAGTGCTACTACTACTACTGCTGCTACTACTACTGCACGACTTGTGGTAAAACTTGGTAGGACAAGAGAAGAACACTTATATAACCGCATCTGTGAAACCTTTATCCACGTTTTTTCTAGAATGAATGACTAAATATAATTATTGTACCCACAAACCGCAATGTAGTGCTTATCAAAATGAGTGGGCTTGATTGTAATGCTTTTTGCTGATTGGTTGTATACTTACCAAATTTCATCAGCCTAAAACTGTGCACACCGCTGTGTATCTATGTCTAGCCAATAACATTAGGCGAAGTTCTGTCTGTGACCTTCTAAACTGTTATCTAAACTGACAGGGACAGGCCTAAAATACAGAAAATAGAGTTCCTTCAGAGCATCTTACATCATAATTATCTGCAAAGTAAACTTCCAATTAACTCCAATCTGTACTTGGCTTTGTGAATTAAGAAAGCAATGTTCTTATTATGAGTGAGTTTGATGGGATGATAAGTGTTGATGAGGACTGGTGCAGCGTAATAAGACTGTGGTAATGTCAGGCTGAGATTCTCTCACTGTGTTTATACAGAGCAGATCACTCCTGTCTCTGGAGAAGTCAGATTATAATCTGTCTCTGGACCAGTGCCAGGGCCGCCACACATATAGACTATAAGCAATACAGGAAAACTGTGGCGATGTGACAAAACATATTCACAGATTAAATTTAAAGGTTCTATATGACACAAAATGGATTCTTGTAAGCTTTAAGCCATTTTTGAATGTTATTTCCTCATCAAAAACATATCCAGAATTGCTTTTAGTAGTCCTGGATTATTAGGATGTCTACACCCCCAGTGTTAAAAATGTCCTTTTCCACCTTGTGATGTCATGTATTGGTAGTTTTCAAGTTAACAGCTACTTCTTCACTTTGGTACAGTAAAGATTGGCAATTTCAGGGTTTATATCATCCAAATCATTCTAGTGAATGTGTATGGAGTTTAAAACACAGCAATCTACTTCCTGTATTACCATATAACATCACAAGAGTGTTTTCCATTTGAGAGAGCAACACAGTCTAAATATGCAAGGTTTGGGTGTTAAACATGTGTGAAACAAAACTTCAAGCATGTTTGTGATGAGGAAACAACATTATAACCTAGATCAAAAATAGCATTAGTATAGGCTGTTTAAGAAAATAACTTGTCATCATCATGTAGAAAGATAAACCAAGAAGAGACCTTGTTTTGTCGTAGAAATAGTGTAATAGTTTTGTAACAGTGTTTAAACATGACCACATACACATGGGAAGAATAAAGGGCTGGAGCGGAGTGTAAATGTCAGTGTCAGATGAGTGTCTGTTTGTGTGACTCACATCACACTGGAAGGGCTTCTCTCCGGTGTGCGTCCTCATGTGCTCGTCCAGGCCTCGCTTTTGGCTGAAGGCTTTGTTACATTCGGTGCATTTGTACGGCTTCTCCTGCAAACACACAATGAAATAACAAGTCATTAATTTGTTCATGAAAATGAAATGGACTTTGTGGTTTACTACATTGTATAAAAGTGAGAGTGGGTTATCAGAAAGAAGAGAGCCGGTACTACAGTCAAGTATATGTATTCATTCTGTTTTATCGTCCATCAAGATACTGTAAAGGAATACTCAATATTAACAAGGTCTTTGGATGTTTTAGATGCACGATTTTTGTAACTCTATTCCTATCTACTCCTATCCCTTTCCCCTCTCACAACACTAACCTTATGCCAATACATTCTCCATCCCTCTATACACGTCCAAACCAACCTGGTCTGGCTTTTCTGACTTTTATCTCAGCCATCCATCATGAGCTGTCCCTCTGTACTAAGTAATATACTTAGGCATCCTTGTGAGCCACAAAAATACTTGAGCCATAAAAAAACAGCATATAAAGTGTAGCATACAAAATAAATATCCTGACAAGTCTTTGACAGAGGAATGGAAAGTTGAAAAAGTACAACTAAATTCTCTTCACGCCCTGGTGTTGTCTGTGCGGGGTTATCCAGCGCTGGAATGACAGATTGTACAGCCCCTGCAGTTGGGAGGAAATGACCAGCGTAGGGGCCATCAAAAACACATGGATCCCTCAAAAGAGTAAGAAAAACAGGGCAGAGAGAAGGCCTTTGAACGTGTATCAGAGCGCTGCACGCTGGGGCTGTAGAGTATCAGTACTGAGCCTCCACACCTCATCAGTTTACCCAGGAACATTTCCTCTGTGCCATCGGAGGCCCCGCCACATGTCAGTCAAAGACACTATCTAACTGCGGGCGTGCACCAAAACCACTTATGTCCCGTGTGCATGGAAAACTGAGGAGTGTCCCAAAACCAAGAGGAAAAAGTCTGTGAAAAACTCTGAGAGAGGAGTGAAGTGTCAGGCCAGCACTTCGTCATATGAGAGACATGTGTAAGAAACTATGCAACTTACTGGAGATGTGCAAATTCAACACAATTGTCACCAGTTGCATTGACTCTTTACTGTAGTAATGTGGGCCTGAAATCTTTAAAAGAATAAAACTGTTCACAATAGTAAAAGGGCTACACAAAAAAGTATCATTATTTTTCCTTTGGATTTTTTCAGGTATTATTATTAAACCATAACATACATAGAACATGAGTTTGCCCGCCGTAAACCGCAATACTGACCTAAAATAGCTTAAGAATAGAAATGGGTTCAATGACTTAAAAAAAAATAAAAATTTCTGAGCACTCAAGCCTTGAATAACATTACAGGTTAATGTGTGAATCATCAAAATACAGCTCTGAATAAGCTTGTGATGAGGGGACAAACATTAATAAAGCAATTAAAAGAGGGTTTAAATGAAATTAGACTTTGTGAAATTGCCTCAAAGTGAATCTGAATATGTCACTCTAGTCCTGTACGTGGATGGAAAACAGAGGTGCATCCTACAGTCAGTAAAAAGAACTCATGAGTGAAGATATGGGCAGGCCATTCCCAGTGTCAGTCTCTCTCTGGGAAGCTGTTTTTGACAAATCTGGCTGATAGCGAAAGGCTTGGGCCATTTAAAGCTTAGTTGTCATGGGAACGGGGTGAATGCAGGAAGTAAAGGGTCCTGGGAAAGGAGCTATCAAGGGGGCGGGGCCAGGAGCGCCCAGTGACACGAGATACAAAGAGGTAAAGATCAGGTTCAGAGGAAATGTGGGTTCAGTATGCAACTGTTTGTGCCACAATAACAACAGCAGCAAAAGTGAGAGAGGCCTGAGGAGGGAGAGCAAGGCTAATGCGAAATCTAAGGTTCATTACAAAACAACTCAATGCAGATTTTCTAAAGTAGCTTTCAGAATTAGTGTTGACATGTTGTGTTGGCATGTGCACATTTTGTAGTAGTCCCATTTATTGTATAGGCTAGTGTTAAGTCTTTGTGACACGTCTGTGAAAAGTGCTGTATAAATAAAAACTTACTTAGAAACTGTTGAATGCAGTTATATGCTTTATTGCTTATTGTTAATAGAACAATTATCATCTACGAATCACGAAAGGCTTCATCTGACCATCAAAGCTAAAATATTAGGGGTTTAATGATATCAAGTTTCATGATACGATATCGTCACGGTATGAACCTCACAGTACGATATTTATTGGGATATCATGGGAAAGCTCATGATATGGAGGGGAGGCTCATGATTATGGATGTAACAATTTCCAAATCTCTCTGTACGATATTTTCATTATATACATCTCTCGCTACAATATTTATTGCGATATTTTGTAGAGACAAACAAAACTGTTAATACACTACTTTTTCCTCTTACAATGCCTTTACAAGACTTAACCCAAAGAACTAAGACTTAAAAGTGCTTACAACTGTTATTTCTATTATATATTATAGTCCACACTGAAATGGAGCAAAGGATCATGGTCTATGTAGTTGCCTCTGTCTTTTTTAAGCTATTGTCGCACCATAACTCTTAATTTAAGCAAAGAGACTTGTAATTCGATATATATTGTGATGGTCCGCGATATTATTGTGAGAACTTTGACGATACGATATCACGATATTTCGGTTAATGTTACATCTCTATAAAATATCCATTCATTTATTTAAATTATAAACTTGACACATTTTAGACAGACATTTTAAAAGGTATTTTGTTAGATATGAACCATATGGAAACAACTGCAATAAATCTGTACATTTCATCCAGTCAGAGACATTGCTGGATGTGGTGTGATTATCTGGTTTTATACGTCACTAAAGCCCCAGTGGTTCTCAGACTGAGGTAAGTCATGGTTCATTTTATTCAAATGTGTGCTCTAGTCTCTTAAAGAAATACCTTAACCTTTTTTAGGTTTAGTCCAGTCATTATACTGGAGCAGAGCTTAGAAATATCTTCGTGGTCTATAATCAGACTATTTTGAGGATGAATGCCATGACGTTTTGAAAATCCTCCTCTTAACCTATCTTCAAATGGGTTATTTTCTCTCTTTTTCTTCCCATTGAGAACAGCTCCATATGACGAAGGGAAAAACAGCAGAAGCTAGGGGTCAGGGGTCAAAATGCACATGGATGGATTGAGTTGATGCTGCGTACCCAGAATGCATCATAGTGACCCTGGTAACATCGAACATCTGTACCTGCTGACCTTTTCTCTTTCAGCATCTGCTCAACCACAACCTCTGACCTGGCCTTTTCTCTCAATATTGACCAGTCTCCACAAAGACTCCTTCTATAAATGCGCCGTAGATGTTTGTTTTTCTTTCTTCCTCTGGAGCACGTCATTGGTGTGTCTTGTTAAATTTGCTCGCATTTGTAAAGCAGCATGACAGCCAGAGTCCATTGTGCGGGTTTACAGGCTTCAGTGGGTTCAGAACAAGCAACTTAGAAAACATTTCGTTCTATGGACAACTTACGGTTTAATAGGGTCATTCACCGAGACCACTGTCCTTGTCCAAGTTTGTGTGTTACTGAGTCACACTGGGGCGGTTTGGCCAATTCTGTATTCATGTGGAGTGGGCCTGGCATTCCACAGTATCAAGTGTGGAAAAATATACCATAAAGTCTAGATTAAAAACCTCGAGCAGTCACTTCAAAAGTCATCTGTGCTCATTCAACCTGACTGTCTGCGTCCTCTTCCCAGTCCAAATAACTTTATGCCTTTCATGGCATTTTAAAAAATCCCATCACATGCAAGTACCCGATCTCGCCTCGTCTCGTCTCGCGAGCTAAGCAAGTTCATGGGAGACCACAGGAGGGCAGCAGTGGCTCTAGTGTAAAATGCTGTTGTGTCCTTAAGCAAGACATTTCACCCACATTGCCTAGTATGAATAAGGTTTGTTTGTGTCAAATATGGTGTGACCATGAGTGTTGGTCGTGAAGGGAAGGGCCAATTGCACAGATTCGCAGCACTGCTTCTATCAGTCCACCCCAGGGCAGCTGTGGCTACAATAATACACAATAAAGTGTTTTGTTGGATTTTTATTGAGCCAAAACACCCACAGTATTAATGACAATCCACTGCTATGAATGTGATTCAGATTCACCTTTTTGAATTAAACTAAACCTTTATGTCAATATTTTAAGTTAATAATTGATGTGGAATCCACCTGTCCAGAAAGGTCTCGGGATGGATCCTCAGGCCGTCCATCAATTTCCACGGTCAGGGCCCCTCCCACTGCCCAAAGACATGCATCTGTGACAAGGTAAAGTGGCTAATTAGCGTGACTAAACGCCCGGCTTCAATTAACGAGCATCACCCCAACTCCACGAGAGCTGTCAGAGATAACAGGCAGAACATGTTTAAGAGCACTCCACTTCCACATAACTCTAGTAGTCCTTAACGCAAGAAAAATGTGGATGAAATTAGCTATGTAGTGCAGGTGATAGCAAAAACTCAACTTTGCTTTCAACTTTTTTTTCTTTTAGGGTTTCCACAACAAATCATTTTACCATTTGTCTGATCTGCCAAAGTTATTACCCTGCAAACGCTGCCTAAATAGGTTTGCATTGGTTAATTACTGTTTAATGATCAGTTTTCCTAACCATCACTATTATTCTGTCCATCCGTTAAGGTAAATGCGTTCTAAAAAAAATTAAAAAAAATAAAATAAAGATTTGACAACTAAATAATGGTGGAAAGCCCAAACTATTTCATCATTTCAATCATTTAAAGTGTGTTTCTGAGTGGTTATGAGAGCTTTTCCCAAACAAAATACTACTAATGATAATTATATGCCTGTAAATGTAAAACAATTAGGTTAAGTAGAGACTGGGATAATCTATCATGCCCTACCCCCACTTACATTTGGATGGGCTTACAAATTCAAATTAATATTGCTTTTTAGAGCAGTAAGGTTAGGTTGAAAATGTTTAAGCAGAAGCAATGTGGATGAAGAAGTCTGGTATTTTACCATTTTAAACTATTTTAAAACAAAGAACCTTTATAAGATCAAAGTATAATGCTAAAGAATCACACAGTAGACAATCCTAGGTTCTTTTTCTTGTGGTATAAAATCTTAAAAACAATTCAAAACTAACTCTTCCATTATGAAAGGAAAAGGTTTCATCATTTCTGTTGTATCCAAAATCTTTTTAAAGGCAACCCATTATAGAAAGTACACAAAATATGCTCTTCTGTGTAATTTTAAAACAAAGATGCAATGTCTAAATAAGTATGACTCCATAAAGTCAGCAGCATATGTGAATCATGTGTACATTATGCATGTCCAAATCCAAATGTCATTAGTTTGAATACAGTGACTTCACTGGGCTCTGCTGTTTGTCACTGTTCAGCCCATATTTCAGAAAGGACAGATCAGGAACACAGGGACCCCAACTTCAGCTCATTTAATCAGGAGCCCACTACTTCAATTATACCTGCCTGCTTGTACTATATTACTAACACAATGTACTGAGGTGAGGTACTGCGATCTGGACAGCTTTACAAATGGACAAATCTCTTAAATGAGCGCTGCTGACAGGACTCCACTATCACCGTCACGGCTGAATTAACTGGTGATGGAAATCTGGTGGAAATACATAAAAAGTCAAATTTATCATCAGGAAGTACGTGTCCAGATGTATGAAAGAGGTCTGGAGAGTGTGGGTCTGATCGAGGGCCAGAGAGGGTCAAGGAGTGAAAAGAGTGGAGTCTGAACGCAGGAAATGACCTCAGCAAAGATCTACTATTTCCTGTCTCCTCCCTTTGGCTAGTACACCTATAACCTCATTTACAGTTGTATGTAGTTGCACATACAGAAATCTGAGTTTTAATATACATTATTTTCACTTTCTTTGTGGCTGGACCTGGTGTCAAATGCCACACTTACCTCATGACAGACCGGACATGGGAGGGTTTAAAGTGTAGTTTCTGTAATGGGTCCATATGCTGATGATATGTCTGCTGTGAGGTGCTAATTGTTTCAACACTTGTGTCATTTGATTTCAGCTTAAATGTCATCTTTGATACTCTTTCTATAAGGTGTGTTTCTTATTATTTATGTTCTCCATGGATCTGGATGCATGTCTCCCGGCTGGCGCTATTTTTTATTGCAAAATTCCAAGATATCGATTCTGTCGATCTCATTTTGATCTATAAATTGGTGTACTAAGACAATTTACTGGTCAAAGCTGGTCCAAAATACATTCCATCATTCAACTTGTTTTTTTTTTTAAAGCTGTTCTGTAGTTACTTTAAATAATAAATAACAGTTACAAAACACATTTGGGGAATTTTCAACCATACACCATTTGTATTGAAAGAAAATAAATTATATGTTCAGTCAGTGCACTGGTATTGGTATATATCAGGTATCAGCAGACATAGCAGCAGATATAGCAAAGTGTCGACATCAGTATTGGAAGAGATAAAGCTGGATCGGTGTGTCCCAAGTGGGCACTAAAATGTTGCATCTATCACCTTGCGTGCAGTAATGACTAATACCCCAGAAAGACCCGAGTGTACAGCTAATGGGAATCCTAATAAATAAACAAATGACTGATGAGATCAGATGCCCTAACAGATGCAACATTTTACATTTTTCATGTATGCTGTCAGACTAAACTTGAAGTCCTCTTATACTAGCTCTCAGTGTGTACTTGCACAATACTGGAAGAGGGTTGAGAGTACCAAGGTTTATAATCTGCTTCGAAGAGAATCTGGTGTGAATTTGAGTTCAGTTCTTTTGACCATGCACTCTACATAGTTTGACTGTTACATGGAGGATTGTGTGTGTGTGTGTAAAAACTGAAGAAGAAAAACAACACCAAGAGAGCTTACCCGAGTGTGAGTTCGGATGTGCATCTTCAGCCCATCATTCTTGCTAAACGCTTTATCACAGTAGGGACACTGATATGGCCGCTCACCTAAACAACACACACAGAAGAAAGAAGTTAGCACATACCCCATACGATATTAGACATTTGGTCATAAATGTTACACACATTCAGAAAAGATTCAGAAGACATTTTGCCAGAGGGTGAATAACTACCCCTCTTGGTCAGGTGGAAGACAAAAGCAAATATGTGAAAATTAGCATGTGAGCTATGCAACAAAGTGTTACATCCTGGTTCACAGATGGTTAGAACGCTTTCTCCTTTTGTTTTCTGATCAAACCCAGATTGAAGATTGCTACTGCCCAGTATTATTTCTGACTGGAGAGGCCTGGCTTCTAGTAGAGTTTAAGAGCACACCACTGCAGCGTACCTTATCCCACATGGATCAAACGTAGTCCAGCCAAGCTCCTCCAGATCCTATCAGAGCACAGGGCCAGACAACAAAGAGGGAGTGACAGGCTGCCAATCAAACACAGTATGGACATATGGACCTGTTTACCAGTCCTGATGCATTGTGCCGATAGGAGCACCATACTCGATAGCTTATCTTACATAAGGAAAGTGATGTAACTGGACCATAATTATATTTTCAAATAACAAAAAATACAGGTCAATATAAAGTAGTTGGTAAGATTATTTGATTGTGGTAGAACATGCAAGTCATCGTGTCAGTGGAATTTACTTCCGTGAAGGAAACATTTGATCCAAAAATGACATGATGTATTTCCCGTTTTTTACTGAACGTAATATTTACATTTGGAAAAATGCATCTCAAAAACTGCACCTCTATTTCCAATTATGTATTTAGGCATTGGAGCGCCTCCACTGTCAGCAGTGGGAATGAACCAACAAAAAAGCCTTCAGGCAATGCAACAAGAGCCATGCGCCCATTGTGAATACAAATTGACCAGAGAAATCCTTAGAAGTACAATTCCGGAGATGGTTAATGGACTAAAAGATTGCATAGGACAAGTCCGGATTTCTACCTGTGATGCAACTATCCAGGGAAAATTGAAATAGTAAGTGATATCTGAGGGTCAGAGCAAGACAACCTTGTAAACAGGAATAATGAAACATGCATCAATGAAGGAAAATGTTTTTGATCAAAAACAAATACAGTTAAAAGCTCAAAAAAGGTAAACATTTCTCTAAATGTAGTGTGTCACATGTGGAGCTTTGGAAGGGTGTGGCTGTCCATTTTGTATTACCTGTCTGGTCTAATAGTATAATTTGCTTTGGTGTATGGCATTCATCACATGGTCAGCTTTAGTTTTGTTAGTTATGTTGCCTCTGTTAGTCTATTTGATGACAGATAGAAATAAACATAGTCTAAACACAGACATTAGTTACGTTGCAGTTATCTAACACACATCTATCTCATAAAAGTCTAATCTGTCTTCCGAGCCTGATTGCTGAACAGATAAGCTCAAAGTGTTATTGATGGGGGAGATGTTTTGGCCCTTTAAGTAAGAAGGGTAATTAGCTGTGTTTCCCTGGGATTCACAGAGCAAAGATGCGTATTAAATCAGAACAAGCACACAGGGAATATCACAGCCGTTAAATCACCATAGCTCAATGAACACAACTGCATAAGTGGAGCATTGGGTTACATTAACAAATCACCAGTGTAATTTCAGTTTAAACCATCAATGACTAATAATCCTTGTGATTCAATGCAACAGAAAATTTCCTGTATCAAATGAAAGCCTGCTGGCCAAGTGAAAGGCACACAGCTTGGGCAGATGGACGTGGTGCAAGAGATGTAAACACTATTGTTTCGCAGCTAGACATGCCTGACCTGTATTTATTACATTTCTCATTCATCAAGTTTAATAATTTATTTATATGAAATCATTGATATGCTTAGTGTTTATAGCTTACTATCAATCAAATTAAAGTGTTTATAGCTTACTATCAACCAATGTAAAATTCAGTATCTCATGCAGAATTCTGTAACATTTGACCTAACAAAGCCTGGAAAAGGCCCTTATTGTAATGCTGATAATCACTCTTTAGTCAGATATGTTTTCTGATTAGTGAGTTTTGAACAGTTAAATTTCTTGAATTAACTCTATATTCTTTGTATTCACTGCTGTTTTATACAACAAAAAACTTGCTGACAGCTGTCAGGCTGCAGATGCACATGTCGGGGTCTCTAAGCCCAATCATAAACCTCCATATCCCTCCATAAAGCAGCAGCAGAGGGCTTCATGGGGCACAATGTGGGCTGCGGTAACGCTGGGTAATAAAGTCTGACCTCCCTACACAACACAAAGGGTTAACAGAACATATGCGCGCTGATCACACTGGACCAGGGGCTGGTGCACAGGACAGTCCCCAAATCCTCATGTGTGCTTTTGTAGCCTCCAGGAAGACCGTTTTGTTGACAAACAGGGAGATCTGAATCCCAGATGTGTGTTTAGAGTAAATCCTCTGTCTGATGTAGCATGTGTGGTGTCAGGTTAAGGACCAAGGCTAGCCTCGGGCTGTGCTGGTGAAGGCATTAGCATTAACAGGGACCAGAGAGCTCAGTGCCAGGGTGGACTTTGAGGTTTGGATCAGGTCTGCTCCATGGGCTGGGTATTGTCAGCTCATACACTGCTCCCACAACCACGCCCTCCCAATAAGTGTGCACCAGTTCACCCACTTAACCTTCACAAAACTCTGCAACAGGCCCTGTCTGGCATTCCACAGTCAAAGACACACTTTCCACTGTTTTGAGAGATCAATTTCAAGGATTTTCAAACACATTAGACAGGATTTTCAAAAATGGCTACAATTACTTTTACCTCTGTGGACACTCAAGCTCTCCTGCACTCAGCCTTTTTATATTATTGATTAGTTTCAGAAGTTTTTTACTTTTTGCACAATGAAGAAAGAGCATGAGATCGGGGGTAAAGAAGAAGCAGGTTGATCTACCACTTATGGCGCAAATACTTGAATAGTTTATATTACGGACAAAGCTGGTTAGGCTTGAGATGTTTCCATTGTATAAAGAGTTACAAAGTGTGTCCAATCGGCGTGACATATTACGCTGTAACCTTGCAGCTGCGGTCCCAACGATGTGGTCATAAAAGTTAGAAAAGGCTGCTGACAATAGGGCTGAGATGGAAACTGGAATGCAAAAACCTTATCCTAAGATCAGAAGTTTCTCCAAATACAATTACAAACAAAATGGCCTCAAAATAGGGGAAAAATATGAATCAACTTATGGTGGCGGTCAACAAAAGCACAGTTACTTGGAAAATGGGAATGATTGTTATATTTGCTATAATTTTTGGGATAAGTTACCTAAAACTAAGCAAGCACTGTACTGTATATTTAAAAAGTTGCACTCTCAATGGATGTATTATTTTGCAGAACATGCATTTTGACTTTTTCTGTTTTCCAAGGATACTATGACTGGAAAACTCAATAGCTACTACATTCCATCTTCACCAGGTTTTCCAGAACGTGTGGTGGGGCCTTCAAACCAGAGCTATACTTGCACATATCATATCTCCCACTTAAACAAGCATTCCCTGTCTTTTCCATGGGACAATATTACCAAGAATAACTCTGGTATTAACATCTGAAATTGGACACAAATAAATACTATTGCTAATCTAAGGGCTACATTCCTGCTCAGCTTGCATTGGTCTGGTGTCTGGGTGTTACTGTAACTGGAAACCTTCCACTTACTCCGCAGATTGGTCCAGATTGTTTGGGGATTATGTAGGGCTTTATGTGCGTGGAGGAGAGATGCTAACTGATTTAGCATGTGTTGAAACCATACACCATCTTTTTGACCCCCCGGGTGTCTGCCCCTGCCCCCCTCCTGGCCTGCTAATCGATCCGTTTGGCACTGCAGTGGTATAGTTGTGTGCGTATGTATAAGTCTGGTTAGCAGATGGGCTAGCTTTGTCGCCTTTGTAGCTTAGGGCCCCAGTCTGAAAGGCATTAGCGCTGTCCATCATATATTAATTTCCAGCTTCCTCCAGTGTGGATGCCGATGGTGGCCTGATACAGTTCTCTCTGCCCTGCCCCACGTGCCAGGAGGCGCCGCAGAGGTAACCTGATCGTGTGGGCTATGATAAGAAGTCACTTTGATGAGCCATGGGGACACTCAAAGCAATTTTTACACTTGATGTTTTCATTATAACAAAGGTCCCAGGTAGATTTATGTGCTTCCTCAAGCAATCGTCTCAGATTCAAATCCCAAATGTTGCAGGGAAATGATGTAAGCCAGATAACAAAGACTGACCTGGCATTGTCAGTGATACGGCAGTGCAATTTCTCTGTCACATTATATTTAGGAATTAACAAAAAAAAAACTTATAAATTCACACATATTCTGCTGAGTTGGGTGGATTTTTGAAGTTTTTGCATTAGAAGAGGTTAAAAGTAGTTTTTGCAAGATTGGACCAGTGTGTTGGTAGAGGTCAGTGTTCTCTGACTGCTTCTACTTAATATACATCTACATCTTTTTTTGTTCACACCTTCTCATAGTCTAGAAAATCCAAAGAGGTCATTATGCAAAATGACTCTGCAGATGTTGATTTCACTTCACAAGATTGTAACCATGACAACAGCGAGGACAAACAAAATGTGCATGAAAGAACTCAGTGATTCCTCCACATGTTCATGAGAAGCCTGTCTTCTGTTACATCAAACAAACTTTTGCTTTTGAAACAGAAACTGTCAGAAAATAGATTAATTATACTGGAACATGTGTCTCAAGTATGTGAGACAATGGCATGGTGTTTCAGTTTGTTGCTGGGAAAAATTTAATTAACAATTTTGTAATGGAAAAATAATACATAAAGCAGATTTCAGATGCCTGGTTAGGCAGTTAATTTATATCAATACTTGCATATTAATATAACATTTTATTCTTTTCATTTTCAATTTCAAAATTCCCTTTCAACTTGCAATTTCTCCAGCTTTTCCAGGGAAACCTCGAGGTGTTCCCAGGCTAGCTGAGAGACATAGTCCTTCCAGCATGTCCTGGGTCTTCACCAGAGCCTCCTCCCTGTGGAACATGCCCGGGG